AAAAGAAAAAAGGAGGCATATTATTCTTCTTGGGCTAGGCAGGTGGGTCTATTGGCGTAGGACAAAAAATTCTTACTTTCTTTTTTGTATTTTCCTTGGCATTTTATAAGCACGTGCTAATTAGTTTATGCAACGTTAACCAATGGTTACGTATAAGCATCGGTTGGCAAAAAACCAAACATTCATTACTTTTGTATTACTCTTCTTCTTCTTCTTCTTCTTATTATTATAACCTTTATTATTTTTTACATTTTCTAGTCACAATCCATTTCCAAAAACACAGTACAACAAAAAATGGCTCAAGCATAAATGAAAAGGGAGAAGTAGCTTCCTGGTGGAAAGAAGATGAAAAAACACAAAAACCACACCATCACTTCATCACTCATCTGATTTTTGCTGATAAACTTATTCTTACAGTTAATTATAAGTCTAAATTTCAAACGCTAATAAGTAAGAAAAACCTACATATGGCTTATTATGAAGCCATGATCAACCTATATTAGGCTTGCACTCTGGAAGAGTTGAATGTTTAGTATAGTTTAATTATATTCCTCCTTAATTCCACAACATGATTAAATTAAAGTTATGGCCTAATTTAATCTCCACCAACGCATTCCGGAGGAAAGCCATTTGGGAAACGCTTTTTGTCGATACAATAATTGTAAATCATGTACTTCTTCCGCACCCATGTCAGCCTTTTCAGGCTCGCGGAGTCCAGCTCTCTAATCCGCGGATACGAGCCAGAACCACAAGATGGTACCGATCCTTGAGTCCATAAGCACCCTTGTGCACTGAAGTTTCTGTAAGATGCAATAAATGGAGCTTTGCTCCAGTCCGTTTTAACAATACCCCCTCTGGTGGCCCAGTCATCCGCATTCCATAGACTCGAATGGATTCTCATTGGCTGCCTGTTGGGAAACAGAACGCCGCGCGACTCCATGTTCTTGAACTGTCTAATGGGTGTTCCGTCAACATAGAATCTGAAAATACAATCTATGTCAGTGTTCTAAATATAGAAGAAAATAAGTCACTTAATATGATTAATATATATTACATGATAATGTGGGGATTCCAGAGAATGGAATAGGTGTGGAAACTTGCTGTAGGGTCAAACCAGAGATGAAATTGTTGTTCTCTGTCTCCTTTGCCGTTGGTGATTATATTGGTGTGAACAGTGTAAGGTTCACCGCTCATATTTCCTAAGAACTCAAAATCTATTTCATCCCATGTTGATCCCGTGGAGGATAACTGCACGGACAAAATATTGTCAGAAATTAGCAAGAACACATAAATTTCATTAGGATTAAGGGTTTTATGACCGATTTAAAACCGATTGATAACAGATGTAGAAAGTCGATTTATATCAATTAGGTCACAAGAAAATGAGGAACTCCTTATTTAATCAAAGTGGAAACAAAAGATTAGGCCTTACATAGTAGGATGTCACGGTGCCAGCAGAATTCCCAGGGACGAGTTTGAGCTGCATGGCAATCTTGCCAAAGAGATACTTACTCTTTGATTGAAAAGCAGAGCCAGAGGCTCTGTCAAGGGAAAGTGTGAGAAGCTCACCATTGTGAAGTATCCGAGCTCTGCCACCTCCCCATGTAATATCAAAATCTTGGGCAAAGTTGCCACCCAATGCAAATATCCTAGGAAAAACTGTGAGGAAAAGGAAAATTACTAGCTGCATTGGTAGCTAGTGAATGCTATGACCTTTTTTTTTTTAGCTGAGGGTTGGTGAAATATGGTACCGGTAGTATGTCTTTATATATGGGGAAAAAGGGTTAGAAAAGGAGATGAATCATGAGCGGAGAAGCCATTTGGAGGAAAAGGGGATACCGAAAAAGATGTGGGGAGGAAGTTTCATGTGGAATATAGTGCAAGTTGAGGAACAGGTGGCAGCGGGAAGTGGCCGTCAAGATCGGGGAAAGCGCATGGCACACAGGTGACAGCCTTAGACAGGGCTTGGTTACACGCGGTGGCGAGGCTGTTGAGAGCCTTTTGACTGTCAAGATTTTGCCCTTTTGTGTCTTCAAAGTTCAAATAACCTTGCATATGGCCTAAGCCACTAACTCAACCCAACGTTGTCCCTTTATTATTATTATTTTTTTTTTTCCTGAAAGCGGTAATTACATTAATAATATTAGTACATGATTTTTAGGAAAAGCAGAGTGTCAATCTTGGGTTTTGAATATTCTCACCAGCCACCACTTTG